CCAGGAAAATCCCAACAATAATGATAACTTCTCATCTCAAAAATTCAAACAAATCATTTATATAATTCCCAATTCTTGGAAACTAAAACTACACTATTTACATTGTTCGGACTGTTGTTTGTTGCCATATTCACAATGTTTCAGCTGTTGTACACTCCAGCCTTCTTCAGGTGATTGGAATTTCAAACTGAACCCTTTATTTTGTCCACCAGAGTAGAATATGGCAACAAAGATGAGAACAACAGACCAAATAATGTAAATAGTGTAAATAATTTCAATACCTCATTGCAGATGTATAGACAGATATTAAAACCTAAGTCAAAGTCACTTCACAGCTGATTACAAAGTTATTGCAGAAAGTGAATAATCAGATTATTTTTTTTATATTTGGGACTTCAAATTTATTGTGTCATGAAAGTTACTCGATTCTGCATTCAATTTAGCTGAATTTTTTGTTTACGTAGTAAAGAATGTTTCTTATACTACTGTTCACTTAATACAAGCCCCAATAGCCATTCAAGGAAGAGTGTTATTGAATGGGATTGTTGTAAGGGTGTAAAAGGAAAAATTAAGTGTATATTATGAGAATATGTAGGATAGATAACAGTTGACCCTAGTTTGGAGAGGTTAAGAGATTGAGGAAGCATACTCTCTGGAGTCTGTTCCACAAAGTAGCAGCTCTTGGGAGAAACTGTTCATTGTCAAAAAGGAAATTTCATTTGGACAGCTTCTTCCCAAGAACCACTACTTTGAGAAACAGACTATTTTTGGCACTGAAAATCTCCCAAAAGAGAAATCTGAATGGGTTAATCCCTTCCGCAGCAATTATTTTGGGAAAATAAGTTTCATTTTCAGAAAATTTTTTTTTTGGTTTTTAACATTGTACTCTTTATGCTGATTATGAAAAATAACATGCATTTCAATTTTTTTCCATTTTTATGGTTGAAATTATATTTTGAAAATACCTTTTTCAGCGAAGATGTGTAAACATCTCCCCATGAACCATATTCTTTACCATATTTTTTTTTATTTTTCTTATATAGTTTTATTACCATAAGTAAAGCGAAATGGAAAACATTTTTATTTTTTATTAAATTTACTAGCAAGACAATAACAGAAATTAAAATAATTTGCAAATGTAAATGAATGAAATTATTTTATGTGGTAATTTTCAAAGCATGGTACTACACAAAAGGTACTTGGCACAGTTAACACATATATCGTGACTATTTTCTGACCGTTTTTCCCTCTATGGTCATGTTTCCAACTGTACAAAAAAAAATATTCTTGATGGATTTGCCTTTTTTCTGCTGCTGGCACTTCTATCAGAAAATGTCCTGGTTTATACCATGAACTTCCTTGTGATTTCAAGGGTCTACCTGCTGATCCTTTTGGTGGTAAATCTGACCCATAATTTGCAATTATATCTCATATATTTTACATATAGAATTTAAGGTGTGAAATGAGCTTTTGTCTTGCCTGATTGACTGCTTTGTTATCCAAGATGTAATTCCATACAGCAATATCCATCAGATGGAAGACGACTTTCTTGTAATATTTCTTATTCCATTTCCTTGGAATTGGATAATCTACAAGTTTTTGGTCCACCTTGTCAACTTCATCCACTGTATAATTGTAATCATATACAACTGAATTTCTTCTTGTTTCATCTTAACATCCTGCATAGCTGGGTTGAGAATGGTTGAAAGCAATGCAATGTCCTTTTAATCATTCCAATGAAAGATACCCTGCCTCTCCAAAATGCTGCAACTTCCCCTTTTTTCAATTTTTTTTCCTTTTTAGCTCTTCTGGCACTTGTTTTCAATTCAAACAAAATGTTCCATAAATATAAATTCAATATTTCAAGCTATAATAGTAACATTTATCTTTTAGCACTCAACAAAATTAAAGATAAGAAAATCCCAGACATTTCTTTTCCAACTAAATTATATGGACACTCATTACACACATCTATAAAAAAAAAAAAAAACATGCAAGAAACACAGTATACATTTTACTTATTCTTTACCTTACCATTCTGTCAGATTCCAAACCATATTTGATCCCAAATTTTACAATTTTACTTGGTATTACTGTTTCTCGTATCTCCAACGCCACATAAAAACCAAATAATAAATACTATTAATTTTGTTGTTTCCATGTCTTGCTGTTTCTTATTTTTGCAAATACTTTTGCATATATAAATGTTTATAATTATTTCCACAGAATTATAACTCCACTACACCTTACGTGTTGGGAAAAAAATGATTTGAAAAATTTTCTAAGCCAGGAAGCCTACCAAAATAACAAACACTGGAAACTAAAGACAATCTATGCAAAACTGTACATAGGAAAAAAAGCATGTGAACAAATTTGGTGGGATCTGCTAATCCAAAAAAATCCAATGAAAAAGACTTCACCTATCAAGAAGGAAGGTCATCACCTAGACAACTGAAGCAGCAGAAACTCCACTTCCATAATTTCTGCTAAGTTAAAGACTTTTTCTGCCTTTCATGGGTTGACCTGTTCCACCAAGTGCAATACTCGACTGGAGTCAAAATCTCATCAATTTACAGTTGAGCTGACTAAATGTAACCATAAATTATATGCTAACAGTTTTTATTCTCACACTTCTAGCTTGTGGAATGGCATTCCAGCTCCATGCTTTCTGGCCAAATTTAATCTAAATTTAAATGCAATGTCAATCGCTATCTGCTGTCCTGATTACTTTTTTCTCTTTCAGCTCATTAGTAATGTTTCTGTTCCTATTTCTTCCAAACCCAGTAACTACTTGCATCTTTGTGGCTTTCCTGCCTTGCATGGGGTGAAACCAATTAAAAAAAAATCTTTGACTTGGTTTTCTTTCTCTTTGACTCACTTTTGCAATTTCTCCATTTGTTTTTCTTTCAAGTATGTCTTTCTTTTAAAACAACACAAGAACTTTCTACCTGCCTCAAAGAAGAATTCTGAAACTCATTAAACTACATTGTTAATTATTTTTGCAGTTTGTACTTCCTCATGTTGCTTTTTTTCAGATCCTTTTCTCATTGTATAATAAAAAAAAGTTTTCCAATTTGAAATATGCATTTGGTCTAGAGTTCTTGTCAACTTCTTAACATGATTGCAGGTTTTGTTTTTTTGTTTTACTCTGGACAAATAATTGGCTAAAGAATGTAGAAAACATTTGTATTCTTGACATGGTCAGTTTGTATAGAATTTGAAGAAAAATTTTTCAAGTCAAGCTAAAATAGATTTAAAATATCTGATTACACCACTCGAGCAAGTAAATTAATAGAAAAGCTCAAAACAGCATTAAATCTATTAATGATGTTTTAAAAACTCAGAACAAAAGTCTATTTTTTCTCAAAAGGAATCTTATAAAGCTGTTGAACATGGTAGATTAATTTAACGTTCAAATTGATAGTGTCATTGAAAGTAGGGAAATAAATTAAAAGACTGAAATGGAAATCAAGTTTTCTTTTAACGTACTTAAAGAAAAAAGGTGCACAATTATTAAACATTCCTTATTATAATTGAATAATTTATATTGTTCAATACTGTATATTATATTTAACCATTTTTTTTTTACATTAAAATGGTTGTGGCTGATTGTCAGAAAATGAAATAAAAAAAATAAATTCTTCATTTTCCCATGATGCAAGTTATAAAGAAACCAGAAAGGGTTTCTGGTCACATGTGTGATTTTATGACTCCACTTCTAGAAAGGACAGAATCTCTCTTTTCCACTTTCCAATAAGAGCATTTGGACATGTTTTAGCAGCCCTACTCATGAAGTAGAGATCTGGCCATTCCAACTCAGCATGATGTTAACTTGAGCTTGACCATCTTTACCCATTCTTATCCTTCCTTCCCATGAATTATTTCTGAACCAAAAAGAAAAATGGAAATACTCAAGAGACATTTAACTTTGTATTGCAAGGTGAAAGGTGAACTATGGCTACAGTTGACTTGCTTCTTTTTTTTTTTTTTTAATAAAATATTCTTATCTTTGAATCTAATTATTGCCAACTTTTCGTTAAGGTATAGGAAACATGGGTCATTTAAAGATTTATAAGTTGTAGCTTTTTTTCATGGATTTTCCATTTTATCTTAGTTGTTTTGTTTTCACCTTTTAATTTCCAAAAATGTTTGGAAAGTGAGGTTCTATTTTTGTAAGTGCTATTTGTGAATGATAAGTTATGCTGATACCATTTAGTCTTAAAAGCATTCTTAGTGCTTCCTATATAAAAATTTTTTCAGACTCAGGTTTTCTATTGTGGAAATTGTGCATAGATAAACTAGAGATCTTGTCAAACATTTGGTTTGCTATGGGCAATTATTAGGTTTTCTACATTTTCTAGCATTGTCGATACTAGTTCTTCGATTTATAACATTTGTTTTGATTTTTGTATTGGTTTAGGAGTTTGTTATGTTTCTTTATGATTTTTTCGAGGTTATTACTACAACTGTAACTTAACTTCAGTGTGTTATTATTGAAGATTTTATTACTGGAGAAATGCTTATTAATTAGGTTGAGAAACTTCTACCCTAGCTTAGTTTTTACCATTTGGTTGAAGGGGGTAAAAACCAAAAGATTTTCAATTTTTCTTTTCTTCTTATTCCAGTTGCTACTGTTGGGGTTACTATACTGAATTTTGGTGTCTCTGTAACAACTAATTTTTACAACAGCATTATAAAAACCATTATGTTTATAGAAGAAATCTTTGTTAAAAGAAATGTTACTAATTCTAAATTCTATGCAAGAGTGTATGTGTTTAATTGTGGGTATTGCTATTGTTAAACCATAAAATGACTGTCTATTCTCCAGCTGAGCAACACTGCCTGAGGAGGCACACACAGTGGCAAAACATGATTGCATTTATGTAGCAGTTTATAACATGTTTTTGTTATAATTGTTTATAAATATTATCATATATATATATATATATATATATATATATATATATATTTCCAGGCATGCAAATAAAAAAAGAAATTACCTTTGGCCGACTGTCTTTGGGGACCTTGCAAAGTTTGCGAAGCTGCATTAGCAGTGAGGTTTTTCCAACATTATGGGTGCCAACAAGCATCAGGTTTAAGCAGCTATATTCACACTCCCTGAAAAAGGATAAATAAACGAATTAAAAAAAAAGTAAAAGTATTTTTATATTTCTTTTCCTTCTTATCAATGACTGATCTGAGAATTGACTTTTATTTTGCTCTGGAGATACAAGAAAATTCTATGTACCTTTCACTGGGATGAAAGATGAGATTCAATCTATGTACATTATGCATTGGTAGTAGCAAGATCAGCCATTGCTTTATAAGGAAATATTCAGCCTTCATTGACTGAACAGTTAGCATAAGAATTGGTTGGAATTTATAAAAATGTTTCTATTAAAACAATTTTTTCAGGATAATGGGATTCTCATGTTCACAAATCTATCATTCTTTCTAATCTTAAAATTTATGTCATAGTGCCCAGTTTGTTGAATTTTTTAACTTATCCAAATGAAATCAGTGATGGCACATAACCTGAATCCATCATAAAAATTCACCTGGGATGCACAATGAGGAAAGAGGGCTTGGAAAATTTGATACTCACAGGACAGATTAGAGGTTAGATAGTCAGAGGAAAGCAACATACAATCTACTTGGCAAGTCTGAGCAAATGGATGGCAGAGCAAGGTTTTGGGAGAGTTGGGAAAAAGACAAAGTTATCAAGAGGTACAAAGGACAGGAAATTGTGTTATGAGTTATGATCACCAAAATCTTGAAGGGGCATGATACATAGAAAGAAGAAAAAGAAAGAGTATGGATCAATTATAAGAAATTTAGTATAGAAGAGAAGGAAACTGAACACAGAATAGGCTGTGGTTGGTGTAATTTTGCCCAACATGTGAAGTTGCTACGAAGCTAAAACATTTAGAACAAGTACCGTGTAAAGTCAACATCATGTCATTTTCTCCTCGAGTTACATGTGCTATCCATTTTAGTTGTTGCTGCTGTTGAAATTCATTAAACAATATGGTTTGGGAAAGTTCTTTGTGATTCTGTAGCAGCAGCCCACAAGATTCGATGAAGGATGCTCCTCTCAAAAACCTACAGGATTCATTCACTGAATACCATTTTTAATGATTGATCTGAGAAAGCGGTTGTATACAGCGAACAATTTAGTTATTTCTGAACAAGTTTGGTCCCACACATGACATCTACATAAGAGTTTACATTTGATAAGCTATTTTCAGGTCAATGGTTTTAGTTTTGGAGTTATGACAAATTTGAAGGTGAACATGGACATTGAAAGTGACTTTAAAAACAGGAAATAGAACGACCTTAATAAACTGATCCCAATCCCAGAATTCGAAAAGGAAGCTCTGCCACTTTCCACTAGATGTTTTTGCTGGGATGTAAGTGAGCATGAATCTGGACTTGAAATCATGATGGAAGAATGAGCACAGACTCTTAGCATTGTACCTTCAAATTTACACGTATGACAGACTCACCATCGTTATAATGTAGTAATTGAAAATAAGATAGTTTTTAAGAATAAAAAGTAGTTGTGAATAAATATTTGAATGAGAAAGAAATAAGTATAAAAACTCACGCTTCAAGAACAGAATTCAGAAAACCAGTGATCTCAACAGCTGACCGATTCTGCAACATTAAATCATGCACAGCTCCTTCGAGTGGACAATGGTCAAGGTCTAATTTCCACAAACGTTTCAGTAAACCCATTTCAGGTGGAAGCTGCAAAAAAATAAATATAAAACATTAACAGAATCCATGGAATTCTGTCTGGAAATTTTCTGATTATAGACTTTGGCCTACATTTTTCTTTACCCTGTTTTGTTTTTGTTTTTTATTGCAACTTACCAGATCAAATAATCTCCAACAGTTAGCATCAATAAACAACTAGATTCCTACATGACTTGAATTTGCATCCCATAAATTCATCTCTCATAGATGATGCCTTAACCAATTCAGCTCTGTTGATGCAAAACACGTTTTACTCTTTCTGATCCATTCTGCAAGATGGGAGGATATGAACACCCCAAAGGCAGGAGTTGAAATTAAAAAAAAAAAAAAAAAAAAAGTTTTCTGCGCATTAGGCTCCACACATCACATCTTGTCTACAAAGTGAGCTCTAGCAGTGGTCAAACACGAACATTCCCACTAGAAAGAGAGATGCCCCTGTGGGCTACCAGACCTACTTAAAAGCAGGTCTCTGAGAACTCCACCAGCAGTTGCAACTTTGCGTGCTGCCAGATGTCACACAGGTCCCTGCTGCTGTTACCACAACCATCACCACCATCACTCAGCATGACCACACCTCTCAACAACCATTACCATGCCCAGCTTGACTAGCCACCTCTACTATCCAGCTTCACCTCAGCAAACACCAGCCAAGAGCAGCTAACTATAAACAGCTTCAACACCACCCAGAATACAAGCCTTCATTGGTGACAACACTGTCACCTCGTCAAATATTGACATGATAACATCTCAACTGACTCCTAATACCCGTAGCCTACCACTGTGACTTCAATCAACCAATATGCACTGACTGTACTCTGTGACCTCACACCAAACCCACACAAGAATTAGGTCAACTGCCAGTGCTACCCTTACGCCATCCTGACAACTGCCCACTGAAATGGACATTCCACCTATCCTTCAACATCTCTGTACAACATGCCAATGATAAACATTCAAATCTAATCCACTTTATTCCTTTCATTACCAAATGCTTAATATAACACACATATCAAGTAATCTTAAATTATTTATCAATATTATTTTTATAAATGATGCTACATAGGTAGTGCCTCCCATTTATTTCTACAGAAACTAAAACAGATAAAGAAAGCACAATAACTCGATTGGATAAAGCAAGTTTTCACCTGCTAACCAAGGTCTTCACATATCAGCTATTTATTTTCCTCAGCAATAAACAAGAACCTGGATGCTGCACTTTTGCAAACACATCACTTTTGTCACTGCTAAAATGCATTACCTACCACCTAACTACCATTGTTTTGTAGTCAAAATAATTGTTTTATTGTATAAAAGTGATTGATTTTGCAACTGAATACTTACTTCTCTTATTTCATTGCCACTCAAGTTGAGCATCTTCAGTTGGGATACCTGACCAATATCTTTTGTCAGATTAGACAATCTGTTGTTGCTGATGTCCAGAGTGGTCAAGTTAGGAAATATCACAACTGGCAACAGTGGAATTCCAGGTGAGGATGACTATAACAAAAACAAAGTTAAAAGGTAGTTAATATTAATACAATGTGCAATTACTAGCTCACCAATACAGTAAAAAAATGAGGGGCTATTTTGGTTTTTGTAGAGCAATTGGCCATGGTTAAATGTAATTGGAAGAAATGCCCAAGGAACAAAACTGACAAAGTTTCCAATAAACAATATCAAAAGAAAGAAAAAAAAAACAGGGCAAAAATAATACTACACAAACAAGATAAAATTAGGCAAAGTAACAGTAAGGAGTCAAAAAGTTCAAACTATGAATGTTGTAAACACACAAAAGGGATACAGACAAATGATCACAGCATTCTGATTTCAAGACAGGAAAAAATAGAAATATTGTGAATGAGACTGAAAAGTGGACTATCTTATTGGCTAGGAAGAAATCCCAGCATGCATCTGTATATTTGTCTATAAATTTTGTGAAGGAGATGTTTATGCAGTCATTCCAGCAAAAACTGGAACCAACAAAATTCTTATTACAAATATTTTAACTGTTTTGTAAACATAAATATACATATAGAGAAATGTTTAATATAAAATATCCAAGAATGGAATACATGAAAACCAGTTGAATGTTGAAACATTTTTTTTATATTTACATCTGACATTTTGTTACATTAGACAAGTTTTTTTTTTTTTTTTTTTCGAAAGACAACTGAAAACTCTAAGGAAATGTTGTAGCAGGGTTGCCATGGTAATAACTTTTCCTTAGTTTTTTCAATTGTCTTTTGAAAATGTTCACATAAAAAACAAAATTGGTTCAATGTGTTGAGCTAGTCAATTTTTCTCACCAGAATAGATTTTTAGTCTACCATTTGTCCATGCTTTAAATAGTACAGTCACATCTGGTCTGAGGTTTCTATATATTTAGAGATTCTTGATAAAATACAAACAAGAATATGCAATGCTATCGGTCTTGACCTGGCATCTCAGCTTAAGTCACTTTCTCCACCATCATAATGGTAGCTTCACTGTGTCTTTTCTATAAATATTTTATGATAACTGTCCTGACATACTTTCCTCTATGGTGCATAGACTATGAATTTAAGTTCTGTACTTGATCAGCAGAAAGGTCTCATCATTTTACAATTGAAATGGACAGATGTAACCATAAGTTCTATTCTAATAGTTTTCTCACACTTCTGGAACTCTTTCAGCTTCTTGTTTTCCAGTCTGCATTGATCTTCAAATATTTATATGCAATGTCAGTCATTACCTTCTATCTTCTTAATTTCTGTACTTGTATTGTTCTCTCCTTAATTTTTTTTTTTGTTTCTCATATTCTTTCACACTCAGTAAATCCTTGTGTTCTGTTGGCTTTATTGCTTTACTTGGAATGAAATAATTAAAAAACAAAAATGGAAAAACCAATAAAAAATTTCAACAGTCAACTGTTTTTCAAATATTCTATTTTTACATAAATATAGATAGCACCATTCAAATTTTTGGGATTGTTTACAGACAGCTTGAAATTTCTACCTTGGATCAGCATCATATCTGCGCACTTGGCCTCTGACCAAAATGTCACTCCCTAGACATCTATCTAAGATCAATGTAACATCTATGCATTCTGCCTAATTAAATATTTTAAAATTAATTTTGACATGCTGCTCAAGCAGAATATTGGTGTAGTGGATATGTCACTTGCCTAGTTACCTCCAGGTCAGCCATTCAAACTAGTGTAGGAATTATTTGTTATTTTATATATCTTATATTTGCTTTTCAACAACTGATTGTCATTGGCTGGATATATTTAGTTGGTCTATCTGGAAGAATAATGTGTGTGTGTGTGTGTGTGTGTGTGTGTGTGTGTGTGTTAGTACGATATAGAATCTGAACAAGATTTTTGATAAATCAGACAAAGTGTAAAACTATTTTATAGACTATACATTTCAGCTTCATAATCTGTTTGTTAGGCTGGCATCTTCTGGTCAGAATTAAAGAACAACACTGATTATTACCGTTAAAATACCTGTTTGTTAGTTAGGGTGTCTTTCAGTCGGAATGAGAGAAGAAAATCATGCAGTTTTCTTCCTTTCAATCAAAAGACAACCTAACAAATGGGCATTAACTGCTTTAGTATAAAAATCACTGAGTTTTCTCTTTCAGAAGATGCCAGCCTAACAGATATTTAACTATTTAATATTTAAATACACACACAGATTTCTGTCATCCTGACCCAAAGAAGCCTATCTAATGAAGGCAAAACAGTCTATAAAACAGTGTTCCAGTTTGCCTGATTTATCAGATCATATTTAAACTTTCTGGTATGTTACTTCCTTGAAACAAACCTACCATAAATATGCTTATGTAAGTAAATAACACATGCATGAGAGTGTATTAGATATTGAAGTAAAGATTTTCTCTCTCATATGCATACACACACACACATATATATATGTATATGCAAGAGTGAGAGAGAGAAAGAGCATGCATGTGTTATTTACTTACATAAACATTTTATAGTAGGTTTAATCTTTGAAGGAATTAACATGCCAGAAAGTATATATATATATATATATATATATATATATATATATATATATATATGGTAATCACACATCTCTATCCTTGTGTTAAAGACATGTCTACTAGCTTTGAAAAAAGTTAGGCAAAATGTATACAGACATTATCAATAATTACATGTGATTAATATGTTTAGCATGTGTTTTACAAATGACATGTTTTTTGTTGTATTTTAAAAAAAAGAAAAAACTAAGCAGGCATAAATTCAGCTTGACTGTTGCAGATGATGTAATCTTTGACTTAAATTCTAATTCCAGTAATCTAAAAATAGAAATTTGTCAAACACATTTTGCTAAACATACTAAATAGGAAATCAATTTATTTTTATTTCTAAATAGTATTTATTTCACCTACCCACCTGTGTAATCCAGAAAACTTACAAAAATGTGCCCTAATGTTTGAAGTAATAAAAATATGTGAGATTAAAAATAAAATCTATTAATTCTTTAGAAATTGCTTTGATTACATTTTGGATACAGAACTGAGTAGACATGCCTCTCAAGAAAATCTGAACAAATGAATGTGATTTAATGGAAAATAGAACATTGCTTGATTGAAGCTCTTCATAACCAATTGTTCAAGGCATGTTAGATCAGATGGTGTTTCCTCCTGAAAAGGCGGCGGGGGGGGGGGGCACAGTTTCAAATCAAATTTTAAGTTTTCTCGAATACTCTGGCTGGTAGAGGAAAATAAATAGTGTTTGAAAATAAAAAATAAGAGGAACACCTACTCAAATATGCATATCCACTAAAAATAATGTTTGAGGTAACAAAAACATTATTCTTAATTCTTTCAGATGAATCAAGGTAATCTAAGTGACCGAAGAGAGACATTCGTTTGAAATCAAAAGGCATAGTGATGGTGTATTCTGAAATTAGGAGTTTTTATCTTGTGATTATTCATTGACAGATGGCAGAACATAGACTGGGAAGGAAAGTAAAGAAACAAACATTGCTTTGAACTGCAAAATATAGGAAGTTGTGGATAGCCATGACTTCTGATATCCTGAAGGAAAATGACACAAAGATGGTAGAGTTTCAGTATAATGACAATCAAGCATAGACTTAGGAATGCCCAACAGGCTTTGCAGAACATTCTTGACTCAAAGTGTGAGAAAAGAAGAAAAAATGAATTTAGCACTGATGATGACTCAGCCTTCAACAGCTCGGGCAGTAGGTCACATGCAAAAAGCAAATGTTGGCTGCTGATACAGTTATATTTAAAATAGTTTGCATTTTCTGACAATTTTATTGCATTTCCAAGAGATAAAATCCCTTGACTATATAGCCTGAGAATAATTACAGTAAAGAGAGGTTAACTTTTGTCAGTAGCTGACAAGTTGAATTTAAATTAACATAAAACTGGTAAAATTTAAAAAGAAATTCAGTTTAGAGAGGAATATATTACAAATAAATATAACGATCATAAAAAGGTTAACAACTGAAAACAAGTGTCTACAGCAGTGTTTCTCAACCTATATATATATATCTATATATATTACACAACAAAATCCAAAATTACCTCACATGGTGGGTATATATATATATATATATATATATATATATATTTCAGGGTGCACTTTAAATTTTAATAAAAAATTAGTCATGAAATTTAAAAATATGAAATTTTGGTTTAGCATTCCCAAAGAAGGTTAGTGATTTAAGATTACAGATTTAAAAAAAAAAAAAAAAAAAAAAATGATTCTTCATGAAGAATTTTTTTTATTTAGTGAGACAGATAATGACCGATTTAAATCCCTTCAGAAAGACAAAACAGAAAAGGATTATCCACTCCTTAAAGAATTTAGCATAGAGCTTAAAATATCAAAATGACATAAACTACACTTCAACATGGAAGAGATATGCTTGGTGTCTAGCTTTTTAAAAATAATTTTTTTTTTTTTTTTTTTAAATATAAAAATAATTCATAAATTACTCTGTTACACTTGGCTTCCTTTCAGGGTGCATTAGTGTACCAGTTGAGAAATTCTGGTCTACAGTAATAAATTTAACTCATTAATACCCACCATCCTATTTTGTGGGGACAGTGTGTATTGATGGGTTATTGGTAGAAATATAATTAATATTGAATTTTTCTAATTATTACCAGACTTTTAAAATAGGCATTAATCCTTAAATGACAGGTAAAGTTTGCATGAACATGCACACTAAACAGGTAAAAACAAAAGAAATTTTTTTTCTTTCCTTTTAATGTAGTTTTCTGCTTAGTATCACTTTAATTTTGTACAAGAACTATAAAAATGGTAAACTCTGTTAAATTCTAAGAAATAAAAAAGGGGTAATACAACAAATGTTAGGTTCCTAAATTTAATATTCTTCCACAGTATGATACTCCTTGAAAGTATTCTACTCACAATGAAGCTATATATTCTTTGCATTAAACTGTCACCATTTTTTTTTTTTTGGTTTGTTTGTTTTATGGCATATCAATCACAGTGGGTTATTTAATGCCAACAAGATTTTTATTGCTGGTATTTTTTTTTTTTTCAAAAATGTATTGCTGGTATTAAAACCTATTTTTACACATTCATAATGTTTTGATGCCAGTTTGTGGGTGGGGATCAAATATTTGCCCAGAGCTAGGACCCTAACAGGAATTAAGAGGTGGTTCCATGCTCCTCAAAGCCTCCTGATCAGAGGCCTTGCTGTCGGATGTAGTTTATCATCTTACCCAAGACACAAATGTAGTTTATCGGCATACCCAGGACAGGCAACATTTTTTATTCTTTTCTCTTTGAGAATTATACTTGCAGATATGGCACTGCCTTTGGTTTTTCTTTCAAGCACTATTTGAAGATGAATACTCCAGGAAATGATATAACCTCATGAATTCTAGAGTTGCCAATTAGTCATTTAAATTTGAATTAGGAAGGTTTACAGCCATATGACATTGAAACACCAGTTCAAGTCCAATCATCAAAGTTAAGCAATGTTGAATAATGCCAGTACCTAGATGGATGACCACTGGTTGGTTGGTTTGGTTTATGACATATTAAACTCAATGGGTCATTTAATGCTGACAAAATTTTTATTGCTGGTAATATTTTGTTTTCTCAGAACTGTACAGCTGGTAATATTTTTTTCCTCAAAAATGTATGGCTGGTAATAATTTTTTTACAAAGTATTTCTGGTATTAAAACTTATTCTTACACTTTCATAGTGTTTTGACCCCAGTATCAAGCTTAACTATTTGCCCATAGCTGGAAGCCTAACAGGTGCTACCACCCTGGGTCAGGGTGGACTTGGGAACACCAGCAAGAGGTGGTCCCATGCTCCTCAAAACCTCCTTGCTGCTGAACATAGTTTATTGTCTTATCCAGGACACGAATGTAGTTTATCATCATACCCATGACGGAGGAGGACCACTGGGAAATATAAGCATGGATGTATGGGTGGTGTAAAAGACAAAGGCTCAGAAAGAGAAATAAGAGGACAGGGAAGAGGTAGATCAAAGGGTTCTTTGATATTCCAATTCCAAGCCGTTATCCATTGCTTCACTCGCACATCCAAGCTTACAGCCCCTGATATTCCCAAGTAGTTACCTATCTAGGTACTGACCAGGCTTAACTTCAGTGATTGTACAAGAATTGGTGTTTCAATGTGTATGGCTGCAAGACCCTCATAGTATATAATCAATGTAGTTGTTTATTATGTCCATATTGTCAGAAAAAGTTTAAATCATCAATTGCTAATATTCAGTCATCTCCACTGAAGCATCAAATGATAATCTTCTACACTTAGACGTTAATAATTTCTTGTACTTATCATGCATACAAGTTATAATTTATAAACAGATGCATCTACACATCCAAAAAAATTTAAGAAAACAAAAAAAAACAGGGCACTTTTTTTTTTTTATATAATTATTAACAAAGGTAGTTTCTCCTGCAATCACATTAATGATGTCAATCCCTTGCTGAATGTCCTCACTATAGTGATTTGCACCAGACTTCTGAGCCAAGTAGATATCAGCCTAGATGTTTGGACACAATGTCATGTTTATTGGCATGAAAAGTGCAAATGGCATGCCAAGTCCAAAATCTGGTCCATCTGGGTTTTTTTTTTCCCTTCATGCTAATACCCCCAAAAAGGTAAGAATCTATCTTCCCCCAGCCATAGGTTAAATAGCAGAGCAGAATGGATTCTCTTGCCATAGTTGTTAACCAGTACAGGAGAAGGAAACTGAATTCAAAACCAGTTTAAAGAGTGATAGACTCTACCAAGCTATCTTGCTCTAGAAGCATCACTGCTGCTATGACTGAAGTACATATGGTGCTACTATGACTCAAATCAGTTATGTAATTCGGGATATGACAACCTACATAGTATATAATCAATGTAATTATTTATCTTAAGTCAAAGCTAAATCCAGTTTCCTCAACTGAAATTAGTTCCTACTTTTAACAAGGAGACTTCGGTCTTGTAGAGGAAAGTTGACTTGCAATCAAACCTACAATAAAATAAATATTCTCAAAGGTCAAGAGTCTTGCCTATTAACTTCTAAGGGAAGGTCAACTTTGTTAAATAGGAATAATATGTCTAGTGGTACTTATGGAAATTTTACAAGACTGTTGAAAGTTTAAGTAAAGCTATGAAATCATTAGTAGTAATCAAACTGCAGGCTTTAGAGAAAATGTCTTCAAAAACAATATTTGTTGTTATATACTTTTCTATGTTCATTTTCCAATCTTACATGATCTTCTGTACAATAATTTTTTTATTATTGCAGGTTTATGTTTTACTTCACCCCAATCAAGGCAATAAAACCACTAAAACAAAGGGTTACTGAGTGTGAAAGAATCAGAGAAAAAAAAACATTAAAGAGAGAAGACAATAAAAGCAGGTAATAAGGAGAGAGATGATGATTGCATTTAAATTTTTGAAGGTCAAAGTTCACCGAAAAGCAAGTAACTAGAAGAGCATTCTAGCAAAAGGAAGTTTTAAAATATTTTAAATCTACCCACTTTCTCCACCACCTTTCTTCTTGACTCTGCTGCCGATCTAAAACTTCTGCATGTGCAAAGAGGTCCATTTCCGCTCTTCCTAGACTTATTAAATTACCAAAACTTTCATTTTTGCTCAAAAATTATTTAGCAGCTGCTAAAAAAAAATACAAAATTATATTTATTGCTTAAAAATATTTTTCACGTTAAAAAATGATTTAACTAATTTCCTACCAAATCAACAAATTATGTTGATTTAATAGAACAAAAATTATTAAACTTTTATTTTATTTATATTAACAGTATTACATGGTTGAAATCAGAGTGATAATTTAAAAGAATATAATAACGAAGTCAGTAACACCAATTCTACACTTTCTCTTCTATCTATATATAAAATTCTGTGACTTTCCATTAATATGTCTATCCATCATACCCTCTAAAACAGCCCCATACTGACCAATTGAAACCCAAGTTCAGGAAGAAGTGCAAACAGATAAGGAGTTACAAAGTACAGTTGGTTTTACTTAGGAGTGTAGCTTAATACAATTAGTTTTTTTTAAATATTAATATTTACTAAAACTTACTAGTATCCTGCAACATACTAATAAAAAATTTAAAAAATAACTGTAATGTCAAGTATGCAAATATTGTAGTATTTTTCTTCTAGGTAATAAAAAACTTTGAAATGTAAAGAACCTTGAATCATTAGATAGAAAAGTTTCATGAAAAACATGAGTTATAAATATTAATTACTATTGTATAATATTTAATTTTTTTTTTTAATAGAATTCCTCGATAAATTAGTCCAGAAATGAAGTTTTGAAATTATTTGAAATTTCATTTATGCACTAATTTTCCAGTTTATTTTTTAGGTGATATTAACTACTCACAATGTCAAGAAAGTCAAAACTTATTAAAAAAAAAAAAAAAAAAAAAAAACAATATTTTCATCTCCATAATTCAGTACAACAAAAAAGGGCATCTATTTAAGCTAAGTTTTTTTGTTTTACTTAGTGTTAACAAAAGTCAGAAAAAATAAGACGTTTTTTATAAAATATTTAGAAAGAAAAAGGGATAGTAGGGAGACAAATGTTACTTTGAGCTACAAAGGATAAGAAGTTGCGGAGAGCCATGATCGCCCATTTCCTGAAAGGTCACAATACATAACAGCAGCAGCAACAAAAGCAAATAATACTTATAAAAAAAGAAAATGAATTAAAATAATTACAATATACAAGGAGGTGCTGAAAATTATTAGCTCAAACCACTTACTAAAGTTTCACCACATGACTAAATACCAGAATTTGTCATGGGTTGGGGTGGGAGTGCACTTTGTGCACACCTTTTCAGCACTTCCATATGCAATCCTTTTACTTCTCTTATTAAAAATTAAGTTTTCAATTGATACACAATACCATAATTTTCAATTAACCTTTATCACACTGCATTTGACTTCATTTACTGTACAAAAAGCTTATCCAGTCATTAAATGGGACACTGATCCCTGAACAACAGTGTTCAAATTTGATTGATGCATTGTCATATCCTGCTAGGGCAACAGAAAACAACTTTGAGTTAGATTAACACTAAGGAAACTGCAATTGAAAGGCCTTGAAAAAGAATGCCGTGGAAAGGGAAGTAACATTAATAATGCACAGGGCTAAAGGTTAAGACCTTTTTATAAAATATTTAAAACCAAGAAAAATGAATGATAGAAAAAGCATTGAAATAATACACAAGACTATATGTAAAATAAATAAAAATAAAATTTAATTTTACATACGCTGCCGTAAGTGTTCTCAAGGCTGCCAGAGTTTCGGGATTGGGAAGAAGATCCACCTGTCGTCAAGAAATTATGAGGTTGTAGGAAAGTCACTGATGAAAGACGATTGTAAGATAAATTAAGCATCTGTAGATTAACAAGAATTCGGTGCTGCCGATGAGGGCAGGCATTCAGATCCTGGATGTAGGAACTAAACGATGGTGTCGCACAATGTCTCCAAATGCTAGTTGATGTCCTGGAAGATAAATGAAGTATTTCAAACATAATATTTTTTCCTTTTTAATTTTTCTCTTTTCAAAGTTAATTATAGTCTAAAAGCCATATTCTAACTTCTAAAATATTATGATTATATGAAATTCACTTTATTGAACAGAGTTGTAATTTATGGAGTTATTAAGCAAGGCCTTCATCATTGTAGCAATTGTCTTTAGCAAGAGTAAATGCAAAATGGCTTTTCCTTTATTCTTCTTCCTTACCGATATACAAGTATTTTTTCTTTATCTTAAAAGAGGTATCGAATTTAGTTGGACAACAAAGAGATGGTGTTTTTTTTTTTTTTGTTATAGCTTATTGGATCATGAAAATTGGCACTACTTAAACTGACTGGTCTGCTTGTTAAAAAAAAAAAAAAAAAAAAATTTTATAGATTATAAGTTTGCCATTCATCCATGCACTGAATATTGCTGCCACATCTAGTCTGATAATTCTGCTATGTATTTAGAAATTCTTGACAAAATCTAAAGAAGAATCTGCAATTTTACCAGTCCTGACTTGGCATCTTTACATCAATCACTATGCCAAAGCCATAATGTAGCTTTTTTGTGCTTTTTTTCTATATTTTCACAGTAATTGTTCTGATAAGCTTTCTTTCATACCTTGAATTTAAGCACAGTACTAAATGATTTTACACCTGAAATTACTAATTGTAACTGCTTTCTTATCAACTTTGATCTTCAAAAATTTAAATACAAAGTCAATCATCATCATCATCTATCTCCTTGAATCTTGTTCTTTTATCAGTCTTTCTCCTTAATAATATTTGTTAGATTCTTTCACACTTCATAAACTCTTGCATCTTAGTGGCTTTATCACCTTGCTTGAGGTAAAATGATTATTAAAAAAAAATTAGCATTCATTAGACGTTCCTTTACCCATAACATTTATCAGAATAAACAAATATTGATTTTTTTTTATCATTTTTAGAAGGAGTGTCCTTATAATTTAAATACAATGTCAAATCAATCCCTGACTTTTTAAAGTTATCTGTACTTTGTTTTTATTTATAAATATCACATTTGAAACTATGCTTACATCACTGATAACTGTGTGCAACTACAAATTGGGGAAATACGTCATCAGTAGCATGCAGATATCAATGACGTAAGCACAGTTTCAAACTTGACATCTGTAAATAAAAACAAAATACTGATTATGGGATTTAAAAGACAGGGATCAATTTGACACCTTATTTTTATTATAAACAGGATCCACTTTCTAAAATGATTAAAAAAAAAAAAAAAAAAAAACCCCTAAAAAAATGTAGGAGGACAGTAAATAGTGACTGACATTGCATTTAAATTTTTGCAGATTAAAGTTGGCTGTAAAGCATGGAGCTGGAATGGTGTTCCACAAGTGAGAAAAGATTGTTAAAAGAAAAAAAAAAAATTGAAATGTTCATTTTTTGGATAGGAATTTTAAAGGTTATGCCTTTCCTAGCTCTTTATTACCAGTGCTCTTGAAAAAGACATGAATCTATGTCTTTCTTCTTATTACAGGTCAGCATGAAAATAGTTTTGTCCCATACACAATGCTTGATGATACCAAAATGAGAGAATGAAGAATTCACTCTTCTATAAATATCAGAAAGACAAAAATACTTGAATAAATTTGGCAAAATAGCTGTTATATGCATTAATAGTCATGACAGCAGTTATAACAAAACAAATATGACAGCATCATTTTGATTAAGCCACCTGCTGTAAATTGTAAAGTTTGGCTCGACATTTTATGTCTGTAATAAGGAAAACAATACTTCACCAAAACTAAGGGTCAAGTTTAAAATGTCAAAGTTGTTCCCAATTGGAACAGCTGTCTTAAAAAAAATCATTGTGTACCATTTATTATGACTTAATTCAGTCATTCCCAAACTTTTTGTTGCTTGGGGCACACTTCAGATATTTTGGCACACTTTGTGAATAAATTCAAAAAGTATTTAGATATTTTAGCTTATAACAAATGTAGAGTGCAGAACATTATTATTAATTAGTTTCTTTATTTGGTAAATTAAAGGATACTTATCAAAGAGGAACAAGTTTGATGTTTTGTACCGAGATTTCCTACGTTAGGACATACGACAGATTCATTTCCTTGTCAATCTTCTTTTCTTTATCACATTTAATATTAACAGAAAGAAATCAGTTCTCATAAAATGAAAAATGGGATCAAAATTTCTGTATGAATTTCTCGGATGAGGAGTTATTTTCATTTAAAGTTGAACTAATGCCCTCATCTTTGTTGTTATAACACCACCATTTTAGCCATTGTGACCACGGGTCTTCAGGTGTCTATCAATCCTGATAAGCTACAAGGAATTTTAAACTGAACCTTTTATTTAATCTACAGTGTTAAATTGTTTTCATACTGCTCAACATCAAGGTTACAGCAACAGAAGTAAGAAAGAGAAAATGTAACAAAGGAGATCAAGCATAACAGCAGAAGTGGCAGCTGCAGGCAGGCAATAAGAACATTGGGCTCCAAGTTCTAAGATTGTCCCACAGGACAATAGCCTAATGTAGTAAAGTGTCAGTTCATGAATTTGATGGTATAGTTATTGAGAGTTCAATTCCTGGACTAAGCAGTACAGACAAATTCAGTGGAAACACATCTTAGCAATCCCTTTCTGCCTTCCATCAGCATATGGCTGATGCTAAACCCCAGTGACTTGTTGCACTTTCTTAGGCTAACATTCTCTGCTGACATAAAGAGGAAAGATTATAATTGAATCAACTGCTCAGTCTACTGCTAAGAATGTTGGTTCACTGTGTCATGCTAGACAATTTTTCTCTCCCGAATCTATCTGGCATATCTATAAGTCTACTGTTTGACCATGCCTTGAATACTGCTGCCACATATGGTCCAGTGCAACTGAATCTATATAAAGAAACATACACACAATGATCCAAGTTTTTAAGATTAGAACTCTGTGTTACATAAGATAATGGAAGTGATATATTTGCAATTGGTACATTTGTCTGGTCTTCTTTTCTGGGAAAAGGGAATCCCACTTATAAATTTCACACCTGAATAGTCTGTAGAAAGAATTGGACAAATTGCTGTGAGAACAACAAACAAAAAATAAATCAAGAAAGGGTAAAAAAGTCCAATCAACAACAAGAAGTTATTCAAAATCATTTAAAATCATAAATAATACCAAATATAAATAAATAAATATATAATACTAAAAATAAGATTTAAAATCAAACCTAGTACAAAAAAATAAATTGAAAAAAATAAAAAAAAAAGATACTCACTGTTTAGTATTATAGCACGTTGAAGACTCTGATGTGCCAAGAGATGACGGCAACTTGTCAGTCATGTTAATCAACATATTATGGCTGAGATCTAGTTCTCGAAGCATTGGTGGGTAATGGCTGAGGCTTCCCCAGCTGTAAATATCATTCTGTGATAAATTAAGTTGATCTAAATTAGGGAAGTAACATGGTAATCCATCAGGGACTTCCTTTAAATAGTTACCTGACAAATTAAGTACTTTGAGGCCTAAGCGTCGGTTGTTTTCATCACCTGTTGGTGCCACATTTTCTGTGCTCACCTGTAAACAGGTGTGCCAATAGACAAAGTGCTGGACGTCCATCTTCATGCCATATGAAAATGTAGATTCCTCATAATCATCTAGGTTCTGGCTCTCACTATGCGAGAGAATAAATACGTCTGAGCTGCTAACACTAGACACACTGCCCCCACTTACACTTTGGGTTGAGCCTTTCTTTCGGCTGGAGGCAGTCTGTAAACTTCGAGAAGCAGGACACACAAATGAACGTAGGTTGTTGTTAGAGAAATTCACATTCTCCAGATGAGTTGAAAACCAAAAGTCCTCAGGAATACTCTCCAAACAGTTGTGAGAAGCATTCAAATAAAATAACACTGGCAGATGAAAAATATAACCAGGGAATGTGAAAAGCCTATTGTAGCTAATGTCCAGTTTGACCAAATTTGGCCACAGTTTATCAGCTGACACCAGGTTGTCCGCAGGAAACGACCCAATATCATTGTGGGAAACATCCAAGTAGCAAAGAGAAGTCAACTCAAACAGAACAGGTGGAAATTGTTGCAGCCGGTTATGTTCAAGATTTATGCGGGTTATTGAGCATAAGCTTAACTGGGACTGACTGCTATTGAGATGGGGGTTGTGGAACAGGGAAGCAGAGACCAACCACGACATGTGAACATAGGTTAATATGCGAAGGTCCTGCCAACAGAGAGACACGGCAGTCATTGGGTAGTTCTGATGTCCTTCTAGATCTGTTGAGGTAAAGCTTTCCTCACTGCCAACCTCAGATATCAAAGATAACTCAGCAACTTTTTGCCTGACTCGAGCCCTGTCAACATGGCAATGTGGGTCTGCAACAGTTTTGTATTTCAGAATAACGGCCAGCATGTCAACATCATGTGAGATTTCCGCTGCAAGCAAAATATGGTTGCGATCATCCTTGGCACCATATTGCAGTAACAGATCCATTAGATGAATGAAGCCATGGTCGCAGGCTGTTTTTAATGCAAAGGTCATTTCATTGGGATCTGGCTGTGCATCTGTACTGGCACCGGTCTCCAGCAAAATGCTCACAATCTCTTCAAAATTATGCAGAACAGACACATGCAGGGGACTAAGACCATTGCTGGTGAAAGGTTTGCATACATGAATCATGGACGGAATCTGACTCATTGTCATCACAGTCTCAGAATCCTGCAAGAAGAAAAAACACTTTAAAACATAATTTTACACCAAACACAAAAGGTAATCCCAAGACAGCAATTTCTTTTTACACCCACAGCTCCCAAGCATTGCCAAATAAATGATTTTGTCTGAGCAACATGCGTAAGATATGAAAACTGCTTCCTAAGATCAATGGTGAAAAAGACTTTGAGCAAGTAAAATTTGAGGGTTTTGGCAAAGATCATCCTTCTTCAAACATTGTGGAAGGACACTAGAAAACAGAAACCACTTCACTTGAAGACTACCAACAGCAGCAACAACTAAAATGGATAGCTTTTGTAACTAGAACAGAAAATAATGACATAATCAAGATTTTAACATAACACACCACTTTAAATAGAAGGGTCAGAAGTACCCCCCCCCACCTCAATATTGGATAGAGAGATAAAAGCTACTGGCATTTAGAAACCTATTTTCCTAAAAAAGAGGAAGATTTTATAAATTTCAACAGAAAACGGTACTAGCAGCTTGGTCCATGAATGCCAAATGTTTCCTTGTAGGGAAACAGATAATATTACCATTACCAACATTAGCATCTGTATACAACTCTTTTCTAAGATTAATGGCTTCAAACAAATTAATCCTGTAAATCTTAAAGACGATTCCTCATCTGACTATATAGACTGGCACTACAAAATTGAACACTTCCAACAGAAACAACAACAAAAAGAGGTAGCACATGTAACTAGAAAAGAAAATAATAATACAATCAGGTTATTAGCTTTCCACACTACAAAAAAAAACAAAAGCTGGAAAGGAAACTCCCCTCAATACTAAAGAGAGTAATAACAGTGGATTTGAAAAATTTAATTTCCTGAAAAATTAACTAACATTTTCCACTAACATGAAGTGGAAAGATTATATTGAATCAATTGCTAAGTCTGCTGTAAGGAAAGTTGGTTCATCTTACATATTTATAAGCCATTTGTCCTTGCTTTGAATATTGCTACCACATCTGGTTTGGTGCTCCTGCTATATATTTAGAGATTCTTGATAAGATCCAAAGAATCTGAAATGTTATTGGTCCTGACCTGGCATTTCAACTTCAGTCAGCTTCCCTGTGCCTTTTCTATAAATACTTTCATGGTAATTGTTCTGATGAACTTTCCTCTATGGTACATTGTGGCACATTGATGCCGGTTAGGCATCAGGATATTGCTCTTCCTGGGTTGAACTTATGCAACCCATCCTGAAACTAGGCTAGCTTAGGTTTTCCTTTTTGATGCTTTAGTTTCCTTTTTCAGTTAACTTAGCTAGGGTATGTATGCTCATTGGCCCCCCTTTTATTTCTGTCCCTATTTGTTTTTTCTTTAAGTTTAATTCCCCATCCCTCCCTTGTTAGGTGGTCAGTGATGTCAGTTCGCTGGTGGATGCGGGCGCTTTTTCGTTTTCGTCTTGATTTTTTTTCGATTTGTTGTTGTGTCTGAATGAGTGCATGTCAGTGTGAGTGATTGGGATGAATGAATGGTTTATACTATTATAGTCCCACATTGATTTCGGCCAGTGAAGTGATGTTTCTGTCACATTTAGTAATTGGGGGGGTATTACTAATCTGATTTTCTTTAGTTTCTTGTAAATAGCTTTTTGTATGCATATTGTAAATACTCATTGGGGTTAACTTTTAGAATTGTTGTTTTATTCCCTTCCCCCCACAGACAACGAATTGTAAATATGGGGACTAGTTAGTATTTTCATAGAGACAAAGAGGTTTTATGGTGGTTGTAGTAAGAATGGTACGAATGAATGTGTTGTTTTGGTGTAAGGAATATTGTTTCATAAGATTGGGTCAGTGTTTGCAGCTAGCTAAGTTATAGTTAAGACAGAAGAAGACCATCCTTTCCCCAATCCCCTTTTCAGCCTTGTGCCACATTTCTGTATTAAACAGAATAAATATCACTTTCCTCTATGGTACCTAGATTTACAATTTTAAGTTCAGAACTAGATTGGGGGAAGGTCATCATTTTACAGTTGCAATGGCTAGATGTAACCTTAAGTTTTATGCTGACAGCTTCTTTTATCATACTTTTACTTGAAGAACATTCTTCCAGCTTCTTGCTTTCCTGTCAACTTTGATCTTCGAAAATCTAAATGAAAAGTCAGTTATCTTTTGTCTTAATCCTTGTTCTTCTACTGTTCTCTCTAAATACTTTCTTTTTCTCATATTCTTTAACACTCAGTAATCCCTTAGAACTTAGTGACTTTATTGCCTTAGTTGGCACGAAATTATTTAAAAAAAAAAAAAAAAAAAAAAAAAACTGTTTTAATAAAACAATTAATTTCAATGAAGAGTAACACACTAATTGCTCAATCAATGAATACCAAATAAATCCACTATGGAAACAGTCAATTTCAAATTTCAGAATTACTATTTTTATAACTCTGTTTTGCCTTGGACACAATCATTTTCATATCTAAAATTCCATTCTATTCAGAATTTAATTCTATCAATTACAAATTTATTATGGAACCTACAGTTCAAAGTTCAATAGTTTTGCAATACAAATTTTGATCAATATGAACACAATATATTTCTTAGTCATCATTCAGAACAACTCAATGACACATGATCTTTTATAAGCATTTGGAACTAAATAAATGGCTTTTTTACTCTTTTTTTTTCTTCTGTGTCATTATCTTCCTTTTATATCTTAACACTTATTACTTTCTTATTTGCTATTTAAACTTTTTAATTACTTTTTTATTTTTATTGGACATCAAAGAAAAGAAGAATAAACAGAGTTTTTGTGTCATTTTCTTTCCCCACAATTCAATCTCAGCCATTTTGTACTGTAGCATTAGAGTTTGGTGACTGAGATCAGCTTTAGAATGAACCATACATCATTAATTCGAAAAATTTAATTCTAATGATCAGGATCTTGATAAACCTAGTTGTAGTTATAAGTTGTCACTTTATAAAGAATTTAGAGCAGCTATAGTGACTCATCTAGAAGCAAACACTCTGATATTGAAAGCAAAGTGGAGAGTCATTCATACGACAATTAGAAGACAAATCTGCAGAGTGAAGAAAGTGCAGAAGTGGTTATCCATTAATTTGATTGATGATGGATTGTCGCTTACTGCAATTTTTCTGCCTTTTTTTTTTTTTTATTTAAAAAATGATCACTTTTATGGACCATGTGCAGATTATCAATAAAAACATGGTTTCTAAATGACAGATGGAAATGTGCTTTTCTTTGGGTCAACAAACCTGCTTCTCACACATTCAAATTTTCACCCATAAAACATCCTCCTGCCACTTTGCTGGTGCTGTAATGATTCTTTAGAGCCTCATATAACCTGGTCAGATCATGACCAGGTTGTAAGAAGCTTCCCATTAGATTCAGAGTAGCCTTTCTCCTAGACTAGCAGTCACTCAAGGCTAGATTGCCCAGTCTACTTTGTTATTTATGTGATAGTTTGGATGGAAAGAAACCAAGCTGGCTTTATAGTGTTCATAAAGAAAACTTTAAGAATCTATAAAAATACTGGGATGTCCAAAGACGAGACAGGTGTCCTTTACAGCAGCGAATGTTTGATGGACTCCTCAAAGATGAAGAAGAGACTCGAGGCAACGGAGGTATGGTTCTACAGAAGGTTGCTAAGGATATCATGGACCAAGCATGTGAGCAATGATAAGGTTTTGAAGACGATGCAAACAAGGAGGAATCTTATACTTAACATCAGGAAGAGGCAACTGAAATTTCTGGGATATGTAAAGAGGGCTTGCAGAATCTGATACTCACTGGTTGAATAGAAGGAAAGAGAGACAGGGAAAAGCAACACACATGACATACCTAACAGGCTTAAGCAAGTGGATGACAGAATATGGCCTGGGAGAAGTAGCAAAGGGACAAAACTTATTGAGAGCTACAAGGGGCAGGGTGAAGTGGAGAGCCATGATCGCCTATGTCTTGAAGAGACATAGCACATAAAGAAAAAAAAATATAACCAGATTACTGTCTGCATCTTTGTTCTTGTTATCATAATATTTTGTCCGTTGTACCCTCTGGCCTTCCTCAGGTAAATATCAAACTGGGTAACCTACAGGGAATTCAAAACTGAAGCTTTTATTAACTCCCTGAGGAAGACCAGATGGCACAACAGCTGAAACGTGATAACAAAAATTAGGACAATAGTCTGAATATAAATAGTGTAAATAATGATGATAACTCCTCATCCCAGATAAATCAAATATGGTGACATTCAATCTAGGGTCTCATGGTTGGAACATTAATATTCTAACCACTCCACCATGCATCTACAACACACTTGGCTTGCACAGCAAAGTAATTTGTTGTTTTTGAAGCCTCTGAATGATTTTTAATTCGATTATGGAACTGTATTAATGTTATTTGTACTTAAGAGGAATATGAGGAACAAGAAAACTCATCTCCCACAAAGCGTATTTGCTTGGTATGTCAGGTATTGTTGAAAAATCATGACCGCCATTAAAAGTGAAACGAATTATTCCAAAATTCCTATCTCACATGCAGATGGACAATGAAAAAAAAAAAAAAAAAAAAAAAATAAGAATTCAAACCAGTTTGAATTTATAAAATAGGAAGTCTCATGCAAATGAGAATTGAGTCTTGTATGCAAATATTAGCCCTCCCGATGCAGGCATAAATAGCAAGTCTGTGAGGAGGAAGGAAGAAAACTTTGGTTGGCATGACATCGTACAGATGAATGAGAGAAGAAGGAAGAGGTCTGTTGCTTGAAAGAAAGCACCTTAATCAATTTCAGTTATCGCAAATGGCTGGTGAACTAAATTAACAAGCTATTTTGTCTGTACTTTGATAAAAATGGACTGGTTCAATTTGAAATTAATACCGGAATTTGATGGCTCCACCACTGGTCCATCTATTGTTGAGTGGCTTGAGAAGGCAGAGCGCATCTGCAAACTGTTCAAAATCAAGGAGCCTTCATTGGTCATCCCATTAAGGCTAACAGAGGGTGCTAACACTGTCTACCAGCAACTCAGGGACAAAGCTTGGACGAAATCAAGTAAACCTTTTACACAGCACTGGAGGCAGTTTATTGGACAGCGACTCTTTCCTGGGGTGACAGATGATGCATGCCTGGCCGATCTAAGAAAGGTGCTGTAACATTCAGGGGCAATGACAACTGGATACTGGCATATGCATTTTTGGAAGCTCTACCCATTGATGTCAGCCAGTTCATACACGCATCATCAAAGCCAGGGTAGATGGGTATTGACCAGCTACTGGCTGGAGCCCAAACCATTTTGAAGGAGTCAAAGCATGTCGCAGCAGCTGCATGGACAGAGGAGGCCTTGTGTAAATTAGAGGAGAATGCTACCCATAGCTCAGAAGGGCCCCAAATGCTACAAGTCTAGTTGCCCCAACCACTTCTCCCGAGAGAGCAGAAGTTGAAGTAATACAGGGAGCAGGAAACAAGCTCAGAGGCAAGGTCATGTCGCCACCCTTGCCTCCTGTCAATCAGTAAGTACAGATTTGCCCATAGATAGGGTACATCTGAATGGCGTGCAATGTTTGGCGTTCATAGATATGGGATGTTCCTGTTCAATAATAAGTGCAAGTCACCGTCAGACCTGGAAGGAGTAACATGTGACAATTAGGAAAATTGATGGGATGTCCCATGCATGCTGTGGAACTGGAGCAATTTCAATCCTAACAGAAGGAGGTGATTGTGTCGAGGTGGACACACTAGTCATTTGTGACAAGCCTCTAGGGTACAATTTGCTGATCAGAATTGATGCCATATGTAAACTAGGTGGTGTTTTGGTAATGCGTACCGAGGAAGTGCAGCTCGAGAGAAATTGTGACTCATGTGCCACCATTACAATTGAGGAACGGGATTTCTGTATCGCATATGACCAAGGAACAAAGACTTGAACAGCGGAATGGAAGTGGACAAGAAATAAAGCACCAGATCAATTGCGCAACACTGTTACAAAATATACGGTGACGAATATGAATAGAGTTGCCTATGAGAGTGAACTGGAGACATGGATCGTGAATGACTGGCTGATAACATATGCGCAAGAACGATTGGGGCCCCCAAGAGGATTAATCTTGAATGAGGGAATGGTGGCAGGGAGGAACCAATGTGGCTCTGCTTGACCTTCAAAAAACGTATCTTCAAATACAAATCCATAAAACGTTGACCTTTCCAAACAGTTATCATCAAAGGAAGGAGGTATTGCTTGACACATCTGGGGTTTGGCCTTAATGTGGCTCCCCTAATTATGAAATCAATCATTAAGACAGTGCTAGATCAGGATGAGCTGATGAAAAGAGCTGTGTCGGCATATGTCGCCGACATATGTGTAAACGATATTTCTTAAAAACATCGTTTACCATGAAGTCCTATGAAATTAAAGAAATCATTAAACCATGAAATAGGGTTTTTGCTAAAGTATTTTCTCAAACAAATTAGCTTATTCAAATTTCATTGATTGGTTTGCAAAAGTGAATGAAACAAAGTTTGTAAATCTCAACAAAAATATAAGCGATAACTCCAACAATACAAAATACTGTGAGGATTTCAGCACACATTAGCATATTGCTAAAAAAATTCTAATGTGCCAAAAATTCCAAATGTTGACTTGCAAGCCCACTGTGCACACAAGCTAAACATTTAATTACAAAAAAAAAAAAAAAAAAAAAAACAACAAACAAACACAGATAGTACTAACCTTCCGGGAGTTAATTTGTATCTGAGGCAGAGGCTCACAGGTCCGGCATGCCATAACTTGCCTGTGCAGCATGTACTTGACAACATTATAGTGTCCATTTTCACACGCATAATAAAGAGCAGACTTGGAATCAAAATCCAGAGTGTTAGGATCAAAAGCATGATGGAAATGTTGTTTAATGCAACCAAACTTGTGACTCATTTCCATTAAAACATGATCAGGATATGGAAACTCAAAGAGTAAAGCCACAATGTCTAGTTGGCCATTAATCGCAGCATAGTGTAATGCCAATTTCCCCGTTGGGCATCGTGTTGCAACATGCTCTGAACACTTCTGCAAAACAAAATTTTAACTTTAAATATTAGGTTAAATCATAAGCAATTTCTATTTTGGGAAACCAATTGTAATTTAGGAATGCATCATCCTAACTACTAATCATAGGTGACAGTTAATAAATTTGGTATACTTTCACATACATTGATTTTTTTTTACATGCCAATGGCAGGATACATAGTGGATTGAAGGGAAAATGTTCTCATCCATGAAAATGCAAAGCTGTATACCATAAAAACAGAAAAAAATTTGGAACTTGGTGTGTCTTCTACCTCCCACTCACTATATTCACCTGACCTTGCACCAGCCAATTATTACCTTTTTTGATCACTACAAAATACTTTGATACAGGAAAACTTTCTCTAATGCAAGCCAAATTCAAGAGTTCATTGAAAACTTTGCCCTGAGAAATCTTACTCAAAAGGTGTAATAATGAATGCATTATAAGTGGCAACAAGTCATCGCAAATATATAAATGCAATTATTCTTAAAAAAAAAAAAAAAAAAATTATTAAGTTGATAAACAAAAACGGAAATTATGACAACCTAATAAAATACATTTTTCTGTACAATTTTGTAAACAAAGATAGCAGAGCAGGTCTTTTGAATCTAAAAAATCTTATCGCAAAGAGGACTGATGCAAGTTAAAGAATAAGTCTACAGCAAAACTATTTCTGATCTGTGCTATCAATTTTGGAATGATAATCTGGTATTTACAAAAAGCAAAAGAAATTAAGAATGCAGAAATATTACATGTAGATTATTTCCCCACATTTTTGTCATTATTATCATAATGTTTTGGCAATTGTGTCTTTCCGCCTTCATCAAGTGCTTTTTGATGTGGGTAGCCCTCAGGGAAGTTCACAATGAATGCTTTATCTACAGGAGTAGACTACTCTCATTCCACTGGTTATTGAATAACCTGTTTCCATTGAATCTAAGCCTGTACTGACCAGTACAAGAATTGAACTCACAATTACTATGTCACCAAATTTAGGCAATAATGCTTTAATCAACTAGGCTAGTGAAAACAGGACTGGCAATAACTGAGAAGTGTTAAAAAACAAAACAACAAACAGCAACAAAAAAAAAAACAATGGTTCAAATCAAAATTCCATGTTACACAAATCAACAAGTACCAGACGAAGGTCAGAGGGCACAATGGCTGAAACACTGTGGTGATAAAGATGTGGTTAATAGTCCAAGTGTAAATAATTATAACATCTCATTCCAGAAATTCAAACAGAAGAAATATTAATAACCATAAAATAACTGCTCAGCTTAAAACTTAAAACATTAATGATAATTATTACTAAAATATTTTTTCTCAACTAAAAGAGCAACAGATACTAAAATGGTTCCTCTCAATATATTTCTTCAATTGTAATATACACCAAACTATTTTTAGTTCTCCACTAACCCACTCACTACTGTCCCCAAGTATAATACATTTTTCCAAGGATATTTCACAGTTTTTAAGTGTTTCCTAAACTTTTTTGTCTACAACCTTTAAATCATCATATCACAACTGTTTTTTTTTTTTTTTTGAGGGAAGACCAGGATTAATCTTGCATATAGCAAGTTTTTTTACAAGATCGGATGCTCTTGCTGACACCCAACTCAGACACTCCCAAAAATTCAAGTACACCAAGTGTTTTTATTGTGACTATTTCTAGGAAGGTTGCTATTCAAGGCAGGAGTCCACATCCTAGTATATATATATATATATATATATATATATATATATATATATATGTGTGTATATGTGTGTATTTAGGTAGCAAATTCTCTTTTAGGCATGTCTGATTGAATAAATTACAAACATTATATCTGCTTATTTTTATCATAATCCTATATTATATATTGGCACTAATGAGGTTTTTTTGTGATTTTCCCATCCTGTTTATAATTAGCATGCATCTGGTTACAATATAAGAGTTTGATATATTTAGGGTCCTTTGACATGTGCTGAGGTTTTTGATAAATCGTCTTATTTCTTCATCTACAATGTGATTTGGGAAGTCATTATTAATGAGAGTCTGCTTAATATATTTTTAGTTCACTGTAGAAAATCTTTTGTGGAGGAATTAATTTGTGCTCAGTTAATTAAATTCTATATAAGTATATTTTGTAGTAATTAGTACATTCACTCATAGTTGAGTGTGCAAGAGTTTTTGCTGGTTGTTTTTTTTTTATATAGGGAAGTAGTAAATGTGTTATTTGTGTCTATTAAAATGTCAAGGAAAAGGATTTTATCTTTTTTTAAGTTCGTATGTAAACTTGAGGACAGAGTTTGTTTTTTTTTGTTTTTTAAGTTTGTTTGGAATTCAAGTATTTCTTGTTTTTAACTAAAATAAGAATATCAACCATATATCTTAGGTAGATGGAGGGTTTCTTGGTGGTGCTAAATATATTACTTTCTAGGTTGGCCATGTAGAAGTTGCTGAAGGTGTTCCAACCTTCAGAACTGAACCCATAGAAATGCCATCACATTGCACATATATGTTATTTTTGTGATCATAGAATGTGACTTCAGTGGTACAGGTTAAAAGTAATTTTCTTAGTATTTTAGGTTTAATTTTTAAATAGGGGGAGAGATGAATTGTTATATATATTTTTAATAATAACGTCAATGGTTTTTTCTAACTTGAACGTTAGTGAACAGATTTCCAATGTCAAGTGATGTTATGGTTTCATTATTAGGTTTTTCGGTTTTTAATATTTCAAGTATAAGTTCAAGGGTTGATTTAATGCTGTATTTGTTAGGTATGTATGGTGTAATTAATTAGTTAAATGTTTTTGTTAGTTGGTAGACAGGAGTGGGAATTTGCAATATAATAGGGTGGAGTGGAAAGTTAGATTTGTGCATTTAGATTGAACCATAAATATATCCTGGTTTAGAGTCTTTGATTATTTGTGTTGTATATGGCGAACAATTTTTTTTTTTCTCTGTATGAGTTTCGAATAGTCGTCGCCAAGTGTTATAGAGTAGTTTCACAGTGGAGGCTTGTATTTCACTAAGTCAGTCCTAAAAAGGTTCGACGTACAAAACGTTAGGAACTTGATATAATAGGTAATGATGCAGCAATCTAGTTGTGGTGGCTGATACTTTAATATCTGACTAACGGTCGTCCGACATTGACTGACTGACCAACTCACTGAGCGACTGACTCGTCATTACTACTACTACTTATTATAGGTGGGAGAGTATATTAACTATAGAATAGGTGTGTTCCAGTATAACAATTTGGTAAGTTTTTGATTGTTTTGTCTCACATTATTAGCTGTGATTAATTTATTAATTTTCACTTTTAGCTAAGTAGTAGGATTATTAGTAATTTTCTAAATTTAGTGTCATTGTCAAGTAACTGTTCCATTTTTGAGTTGTAGTCAGACATGTTTAAAATAAAGATGTTTACTTTATCAGCTTAATTACTATTTCAGGATGGCTGTGTAATTCTTTTGCAGCAATCTTTAGTGATACTTTTATGAGTTCAGATTAATTTTTTCTTTTAGGATGTCTGTCTTTTATAGATTCAGATTTAAGTAGATCACAGATTTCTAGTTCTGTGGTAATTAACTGCTGTTCTTGGAGTTTAATTATGTTTTGGTATAGTGTCTCAATCTCATTTTTTTTTTATGTAGTCCATTATATTTTTTGTATATTAGGTTTGAGTTATGTTCAAGGTTGCATAGTTCTTTTAAATCTTTCAGTTAAATCATAGTCAGAGATGTTTATAAATCTTTCAAAGTTATTCATTTATATAATGTATTGAGTTTTCTTTGAATTTTTAACCTACGTTGACATTCCGATCTGTAATTTCTGTTAGTCTATCTAGAAATTGTTTAAGCTGTTCAGAGGTGGTGGTCCTTTTTAGTGTGTTATGTGTCTCCTGCTTCCGTTTATTAAAAGTTATTAAGTTATCATTATCTGCCTTTTTACAAGGCCATGTTTAAATTGCCGGGTGATGTTGTCCTGGTGAATTATATAATTTAAAATTTGTCAGTTTAGACAGCAAATTCTCTTTTAGGCATGTCTGATTGAGTAAATTACAAACACTATGTCTGCTTATTTTTATCATATATATATATATATATATATATATATATATATATATATATATATATATATATATATATAAAAACAAGCACACATTGGTTGTTGGCTCCTATAAGAAGCCCATCCACTTTTGTAAGGCCTTTTTTTCATCCTGCAGGGAAACATGCCACCCAGCTCACAAGTAGAAAAGCTAGTGAAAGTGCTGATTTAGATGCCAACCACCTATCGATGCAACAGGTTATACTCAGTTACATGTTACCAGTAGCACATCTAAGCTTGACAATAATGCAGAGATTAAATAGCATTGACAGAAAATTTGTTGTCACAGCAGTGTGTGGAGGACAAAATGAAGACAAAGTACAAATTTCAAAAAGGGGGATGTTACATAATTAGTGTCTTCTGATGCTTAACAAATAAAGTAGCAAAAATATTAACACTTTGGCTGTTGTAGACATAATTATACATCTTTACAAAACTTGCATTGCCTGTTATTAAGATACCATGAAATGTCGATCTATGGTGTTTTTGTTATAAATTAACACTTAGTGCTATTTCTAAACAGTATAGATAGATGTTAGCATACAATACAACACTGCATATTGAGAGGGATGTCATTTAGTTTAGTCTTTACTGCAGTGTATCTGATCAAAACCAATATGGTGCTACACACGAGAAAATGGCCAACAGTATCTTTATAGTCCTTTATTTCCAGTAAATGGCAATTTCCTGTAGTTTTCTAGCACAGTCTAGCAACAATGCTATAATAATGCAGTATTGAAAGTATTAATTCATGTCCTTTGTCAACAGTTATAAATATAAAAATGACTGGAGAGGTGTGATAAAGTGAAACAAAATAAGATTAAGTCAAAACTTAATACCTGAAAGAAATCTGGGTAATTCAAGATTTTTAAACTAAAGCCAGTTTTACAGCTGTATAAACCTTCTGATTGTCTAAAACTATGTTTATAATATTATTTCTCTCTCATAATCTTATTTGAGACAAAGCTTTAGAATTCTGATCATTAAAACATTGATTAGAACAGTGTTTCCCAAATGGTATGGCATGCCTCATAGGTGCCATGAAAGAGGATAGCAGGGGAGGCAGGATGATTGAAAGACAATCAAACATTTAGTAACAGTTTCAAAAACTTTGTATGCCAAAAATAAATATATGATTTCAAAATCTAAATTATTATTATAGATTACTTGTAATTGCATGCATGAGTCCCAATATATATAGTTAAAAATAAATATTGACCAATTTTATCATTGTGATATTTTTGCATTATATCAAGTATTAAGAATATAGTAACTAGGGTCTTCAAATTGGAGGAGAGAGTTATCAGTGATAATGTTTTGACTTTGAATCCGTGGTTATCTCCCTTTAACCCTCTTTCTGTTTTTTATTTTTGAATGTACTTTGTATCAAATAAAATTGTGAGTTGAGAGCAAATTTTAATTCTGAAAATACAGCCCAGAGAAAATAGTTTGGGAATCACTGGATTAGAATAAAGGAGGAACACAACCCAATCATTCATCACTCACCTCTAGCAAAAGAAGAGCCACTTCTAAATGTCCATGTTCACAGACTAGGTGCAAAGGAGACTTTTCTCCAAAACTTGTACAGTCCGTCTCCAAATCAACTGTCAGCAAAATACGAACTAAGTCCTTCTCTCCAGCTTTACAAACACTGGAAACAGAAAATTGTTTTTTGCTTTTTAATTTTCAGTCGCCATAATAGAAATAACAAATAAAGTTAAGTCTTTGCCTTTAGATCTGTAACATTAAATGCAAAATCATTATTGAATTTAATAAAATAAGTTGGTGAATTAAAATACAGCAATGCAATATTGGAAAATGAGCAATTTCATAATCATTGTTAGTTTACAAAATGATGTTTTAATTTTTATACTAAAAATAATTTGACAATTTCAAACATCACTATCATTAAAATAGAAAAGTATCCTAGTCTATTTCAGATGTTAATGACTGAAAATGCCGCATCACAGATGTGGGGAAAGATATTGGATAAAGGAACAAATAATGTAAGTGGCAATAACCAGAAAAAGATTTTGACATGAAGGGTTGCCAAAGAAAAGAAAATAGGAGGTGTAAAGGGATTAAATAGAATAAGGAAGGAAAGATAGCAGAGGAAAAAGCAAAAGGAAAAAAAAACACAAACAAGAAGAAATGGAAACAAGAACTGGAGAGGGACATCAGCAAAAAACAGAATAGCCAGAAAGGCAAACAAATACACTGATTGACTAGGAGCAGGGACAGACGCCGCACTGGCCAGGGGAGCGGGGACAGACGCCGCACTGGCCAGGGGAGCGGGGACAGACGCCGCACTGGCCAGGGGAGCGGGGACAGACGCCGCACTGGCCAGGGGAGCGGGGACAGACGCCGCACTGGCCAGGGGAGCGGGGACAGACGCCGCGCACTGGCCAGGAGCGGGACAGGGGAGCGCCGCACTGGCCAGGGGAGCGGGGACAGACGCCCGCACTGGCCAGGGGAGCGGGGACAGAGGCCATACTGGCCAGGGGAGGCGGGGACAAGGCCATACTGGCCAGGGGAGCGGGGGCCAGGGGGACAAAGGCCATACTGGCCAGGGGAGGAGAGGTGGACAAAGGCCATACTGGCCAGGGGAGGAGGACAAACGCAGCACTGGCCAGGGGAGGGGAGGGGTAAAGACAACAGTTATATTGGCCAAGAAAAGGAGAGTAGCAACAAAGACTGACTTACTTTCACAAAAAAAATAAAGTGCCCTATTCAAAAAAGGTGTTCCATCACATAACACAACACTGAAATTCATGATGCCCGAGACATCCCAAAGGGAAAATACCATTTGAACTGAACAATTTCTAGCACATGACTCCATGTTATGAACTACATTTGTCCTTTAGTCCAATGTGCACACTGCCAATGCTGTACAAAAACTAAGCTATGTTGGTGTATTCTAAATTTATTCTTAAGAACAGAAATTCTTCCCCAAAACTGAAATTAATTATGATTCAACCTTATACATGTGAAACTACACTATATACAATAGAAAAAATCACTTTGCAAGACTAATATGAAATAGTAGGTGCTGCTATAAAAGTTAAATTAATGTGATGATCACTGAATCTGATTGAAATAAAAGAAATGAATTTTATTAGTGGCCAAATTATTTAGATGGTGTTTCACAGTTTACAAATGTAAAAGATAGAAACAGATGTTACGGTCTAAAGCAATGTTACAGTACCACATTATTGATTTTGCCAAGCCAAACAGGTCTGGTTCTTCAGAAAAAAACTTCTAGAGGCAGAGCTAAGAAAAATGCCTTAGAGCATAAGGAAAACATATCCTATAACTTATATTAATTCTATTAATATATCCTGCATTGATACTACACAAATAACATCACACATTTGTCAGCCTTGCATTAGTACTGTAGTCTGTTTGAACACATTACAAAATGATTTTCCTTAATATTTAGCAAATGGTAAATCAAAATTTCATGATTATTCAAACAGCTTTCCGAATACCTCTATACATGCAACTACAATGAATTTCCAGTTTTAATCATATTTGTGTGAATTACAAGCAGCTTTATTTGTTTATTAAAAATAGAGTGAAACCTATTTTTATATATTTTAATTTTTGAAACTTAAAAATCCATTTTTTAATATGGACCTTTTAACTCAATTTTTTCAAATAAAAATTTATTTTATTTTTATTTATCCTGTAAAAACTGTAGTCAAGACAAAATATAATAACAAAATTAAGAACTGGATGATATATCTATATTTTAAATAGGCTGTTTAAAAAACCCACAATCCCAATACTATGGCAATACTCCAAAAGGTTAATTACAATAATGGCATCCCAAATTTCCAGAAACCAGGTCTATAAAAGCAGGTAATCTTTAGGAATTTATTCTGCTTAATTTTTGGAATCTGCTAATGGAAATAAATGACTATAGTATTGAAAAAGAATTAAACAATTTTGATAATTTAGTAGAAAACGTTTATTTATTAAGATATTTCCAGATTGAAATTCTCTTATCATATTTCTGTTCAAAAGTATGATATTTTTGACACTAGTGTCATCAGCTGTGTTATCGTTTCTTAGCTACATTCAAACTGAATCACTGCAATCCCAAAGATCCTATTAAATTTATGACTAAAAGATTTTCCCCCATTTTTAACTTCAAGATGATTTCTTTTGTCAGAATAAATTATGTTCATAACAAAAAACCCTCTTTCAGTCTCTGCAGAACTTACAGCAATGGTATTAATTATATTTTTAGCTTTTTGGATAGTTTTGGGTACAACATGTTTATGGTAATTTCTCGTTACGTTTTCAACGTAATCACGAAAATCATTAACAGAAATACTCTACAAGAGTCCAGTAACTTCTCTTCAGCATTTTTCCAAGGAACTACAGATTCTTTGATATTTCAAGAATCTGGGTTCATAATATTAACTAATTCATGAGTTTATGATTTATATTATCAGAGTTATTGCTTAGTGGGGGATGTGCCTATTAGAATTTCAATAGGTATGCGAGTGTAGAATAACTAACATTTTACCTAGACAATTGCCTATTAATATTATTTAAAGATAATCCAACAACCTTTTTTGTTAAGTATCTGTTTATATTTCTGAGATGAGGTCATATATACACTATTTACATTATTCGAACTATTGTCCTCATCTTTGTTGACATATTTATTAGAATGTTTTGGCCGTTGTACACTCCTGCCTTCTTCAGGTGGTTGGAATGTCGAACTGAACCCTTTATTTTGCTCACTGGGGTAGACTGTTCTAGTTCTACGTGCTATGTTTTTAATGGATGTCAGTTGTCAGTTATCTCCTGTTAATTCCCCTCTCCAAGTTCTCTACTGCCTTAACCGGGTATTGAACTCACACTCTTTGGGTCCTCTTACTGGATCTAACTAATGCCTTTATCCACTGTGCCATGTTTTTTGTTAAGCTTTTATCATTTTAAGAATCAGTTGACGTGAACCAGTAGGATGCCACCACTGGTTAATTATTAATTGTAAGAAGACAGAGTGCAGGGTTATGAACAAATGGGACAACCCAGATTGTTAGTTATGAATTGGAGACATCAGGATCAAGTAGGTAAGAAAGCGGAAGTATCTGGGTAGCATCGAGACAGATAACAGTAAATGTGTCACAGAGATCCAAAGATACATTGGAATAGTAAAGGTTGTCTTACAGAGGCTAGACAAAGTATTAGGAAGCAGGAAAATTTTGTTAGAATCAAAGAAAAGAATGACAAACTGCTGTATAATATAAATCCTCCTATATAGCAGTGAATGTTGGACAATTTTTCTCTTTTCTGAAGATGAAATTTGAAGCAGCAGAAATGTACTACTGAAGCATGCTAAGAAAACCATAGCCAGAATAAGTCAGCAATGAGGAAGTTTCAAAAAAAATAGAAACAAAAAGGGTACATACTTGCAATCAGAAAGTCATACATTGAATATATAGAAATCAAAATGAGAAAGGAGAGCTTAGAGAATTTAACACACACAGGACTAAGGCAAGATAAGCAGAGGAAAACAGTAAATAACCTAACAATTTATTTAAATGAATTGCAGGGCAGGTACTAGGAGGGATGGTTACTGAGACAGATGTTTATTAGAGTTACAAAAAAGAGGAAGCTGTGAAGAGCCATGATTTACTTTGTACGCATACAACTTAATTGAAAGAATTGACAGTTTAATAGTGAACAATTCTATTTTTCTTCATCATTTGAAAGATAGAAATAAAGTTAAAACTTACTGTGACAAAGCCTTATTGTACTGCAAAGCATCAATGACAGTTTCTGCTCTAGAACCCAGCTCATCTCGAAGTCTCTTAGCCATGGATACATCACCACGACGACAAGCAACAAGAAAATCTATACACAAACAGTAGATAGAATAGAGTTTTTATTTTTTAGCCTTTTTATGCTTTTTACAGCATTAATATGACAATTTCAAGAAGTATTTACATAAAAAATCTGATATGATTGATTATCAATAAATGCAGAAAATGTCAATCATTTTTTTTAAACAGGATGTCTCAAAAAATGTACAGGGTGTCCATAAAGTTCGTGTGCACTTTAAAAAATTTATAACTTTATTTAATTTGCAATAGAAATAATTTGTAAAAAGGATTAGAAAGAAGTAAATCTATATTTTTTTTAAGGTTTTATTGAAATTTTATTTAAGTTTCCACATGTCCTCCATTATTAACAATACAAAGGGTAATATGATTTTGCAGTTCACAGAAAACATTTGCCAACTGATTTACAGCAATGCTGGAAATCATATTAGTTATTTTAGCTATACTTAAAACTAGGTACATTAAACTTTATAACATTTTTTACAGATTATTTCTATCGCAAATACAAATAAAGTCATAAATTTGTTAAAGTGCACACGAACTTTATGGACAACATTTTATACACACTTTGTTTATTAATACAATGTCTATTACAATATGTCTTTTTGATTCAAACAAAAATATGGAATCATTTTCAGTTATTTGAACAGATTCTCATTCACGTTCAGATATTGCTGACAATAGTGACCACAAGAATTGCATACATTATGAACCACATAATTTGGTATTTGGGTAGACTTATTTTCAGTGCCTACTTTCATTTCATTAAATGTTGCCAACTTTGCATGATAATCCTTATCTTTAAGATGTTTCCATTAAAAAAATAAAATCCTGGTAGCATTAAGTTTAGTGAACATAGAAGGTATTCAATTCTACTTACATAATTTAAAAGGGATACAGGATTTAATAATGGAAATTAAAATGGACATAATAAAACAATAGGAAGGAATAACAAAAACGTTTACATTTTAAAGTTTAAAATGGTAATATTGGAAAGCAAAGGAATTAACAACATAAAACAACAACAGCTTAACCAGTTTGTTGTTCCTCACTCATCAGAGCTTAATCAAGGATAAGAAATGTACACAGAAATATCATATTTCTTATATAACTGGTCTCTGGAGTGATTGATTTTTGTCACTGTTCCCTATCTATGACTGAGCTGTTTTTGTTTGCTTTTTTTTTTATTAATTTATTTGCTTTTCAAAATTACCACTTTTCAGTAAGGTAAACTTTCTTCTTATTCCTTCCTGTTGTCTTAATATAATCCATTTTAATTGCAATTATCACTGCTAATTCTTCATCCACTCCATCACTGAAACAAATTTTCACCAAAACAAGACCTCATATCACAATGATCAGAATCGCCTTCATTAAAGGCCTGTACTAAAACAGTTTCAATGAATGTATTTTCTTCTGCTTCAAATGTATCTACAATGTAAGTAATGATGAGTTATATTAGTGGATGTTTGAAACTCTAATGTATACATTCCCACACTTCCAGTGTACTCAAGAATAAATTTTCTTTTCTCACAGCTCAGATTATTTATTTTAAAACACTGATATCTAAATTAAATATTTTGTGAGTTATGGAATGTAAAAATATGTATTTTTTGTTTTACATACTTTGTATTCTTTTTCAACAAATTTGATATTAAGTTGATGCAAATGTTTCCAGAATTTTCTGACAAAAATCTTATTCATATAAATTTATAGCATGACTATTCAGCCATCAAAGTATGACAATTACTAACTTTCAAGAAAATGGCACATTCTTTCATTTGAAATAAATAAAAATGATTCTTGTTTTGATTCAATAAACTCATTAAGGATTTTTTTTTTTTTTTTTTTTTTTTTAACTATTTTGCACTTGTTGGAAGCATTGATTAGACAAAAGGAGTTGCATGCCCAATGTCATTCAAACAAGCCAATAGCTCACTTTAGAATTACACATTGTTTGTCCCCATCTCAGCAATATGTAAAAGAATTCTACTTAATAATCCATAATAAAGACTGTCCTATATCTAGCCACAATTTTCTTTTTCTGTGTGAAGCAAAAAGAAAAAGTTTTGTTCCCTATGCCTCTGGTATTGGTTTAAAGTGACACCTTTGATTTTTTTCATATATAGAGACCACTTAAAGTTCACAATTTCTTTATTTCAGAGGAAAACTGAAATTTTACAACAGATTACAGTGAAATCTTCACTTTTTAATAATACATAATTAGTCATTGTGATTTTGAAAGGGTGTAAGTTGACATAAACACTTTTAGTATATTTTTCCATTTTTGAAACAAAATGACAGACAATTTTCTGATACATTTTGTGAAGTTAGGCACCAATCATTTAAAAATCAGGAATTCCCATTCCAAATTTTATTTTTAAGGTATTTTTTCTTTTTTACTTATTCCACAAATAACAGATTATAGTTTAGATATATGATAAAAGAGGGTGTCAGTTTAAACTGACACAAAGAGTATATATGCAAATACTTACTAATTTTCCTTTCAAACCTAATTTCTTATCTTCTGAATTTTGCCTAAGGCAGTGTTTCTCAGCCTTTTTAAGCGATAGCACAGTCAAGGCACACTTAGCAAAATTTTTAAAAGGTATACATTGGAAAGTTATGAAATAAAACTAGATTTAACAAAAATGGCAACACAAATATAAACTTACTTTATTTCAATGATTCTATTCAACTATTTGTGCAGTTTATTTAATGTAAAACCTGTGGTGGATGTTTTTTGTGATTTCTTCAAAATTTTCCAGCACATTTAAGTGGCAGTTAAGAATCACTGACCAAAGGCCTTTAAATGAAATTCTATAATAAAGTGATCGAATCAACAATAAAAAGTTCAGTGGACTTCACAAACACTTCAAAGATTTCCTTAAGATTGTACAAAAGTCAGTGCTGGGAACTTTTGCATCCATCAAATAACTGATACCAAAACATTTAAAAAGTACACACAACATGAAGAAAAAAATGTTTACAAACCTTCAGCTAAAGATTTCCATTGAGCATCTCTTTTAGCTGGAAAAAAAATAAAAATAAAAATTGATTATTTTAAAAATATATTTGGAGTAAAATGGACGTACATTTGACTGTTACATTGATTTCTATAAGTTTGAAATTTATTTGGAATCTTTTCCCTTTGATTCATCATTTTATTGATTGACTTATAGATGTAGAAAGCCTTGGAAGATAATTGAAGGGAAGATGTATTTTGAATGAAAATAGTTCACACAACCTAATATGGAACAGGGTTATTGCTAACACATATGCATCAAGGATTCTATGTACTGTTTCATCTCACAGAAAAAAACAATAATGGCTACAACTTGCTCAAAATTGAGAGTGAAATCTTAGACAAGAAGAACTTTAGTTCTGTTAATAATATATAAAAAATATGAATTTGAATTATGAATATTTTATCATAAATTTTTTGGTAATGAAAATTATAATATGAAAATCCAAAAAACATACAAAATAAGATGTTAAGATTTAAAAATAGACACATGTAAAGAATATAATCAACTAGCAGTAGAGCCTGGCGTTGCCTGAGGATGTAACAGTAAGAGATAGATCAAGTATTGACTATCATAAAGACTTAAAAAATAAAATTGACAAAGATTATTGTTTAAGGCTGACGGACATGCATGTCTTAATTAGTTTTATTTTTTGTTTTGTTTTTTTTTACGAATTGGTCAAACCCAAACTCAAAAAAAAACATTGTTTTCAATCGTTATAAGTCTACTGATTGAATAGAATTTTATTATAAATAATTGTCTTGTAAATGGAATTTTTAAAGCATTCTGAATGTAAAAATAAAGAAAAAAGTGTGCAAGACAATAAGAAACACTACCTGCCAAAAAAAAGTGAAGTTTTGTTGAAATTGGTTGAAAAATGTAGGAAATCCAATCCCATATATAAACAAACACACAAACAACCAACCTGGGTTTTATAATAAGTATAACTCGATATTAATAAGTATAACTCGATATGAGTTGTCCCCCTTTCATTCCGCGAAAGCGATGCCTCTTAACAGTGTTTTCAAATTGATTTTATGCAAAAAATAAATTGTGTTTTTCCAATTTTTGGCGCTGTCAGAACCACTGCAAGGTAATTTTACATAGTCCTGTGAAGTTTTGTTGAAAAATGTAGGAAATCCAATATATAAACATACAGACACACACACACACACACACACACACAACCTGGGTTTTATAATAAGTAAGATTATTACAGGGAGCGACCAAGCTTTCACATTCTACTAATCAACACAAATTTTGCACCATATAAATATTGTATTCCTAGTGTGTCAGATCAGGCTTAGGCCTGCTACTGGTAACAAGTAACCCAGTAGAACCTGCTGCATCGAAGGGGGGTTGGCATCTAAACCAGCTCCTTGACCTAGCTTTTCTGTTGACAAAAGCAAAACCTGTCAAAGGGTAGATGAGCTTCTTATAGGAGCTAACACAAACACACATACATTTACAGTGGGGTTCCCTGTGTACTAAGCCAGGGAACTACTCGAGGTAGAGGGTTATAGTAAGGTGCAGTTTATGTGGCTAAGAAGAGATGAGAACAGTTAACCTTAGACTTGAACAGGTTAAGATTGTAGTGAACAGAGAAACATGCTCTTGGAAGTCGGCTCCATAGAGTAGTGGTATGCAGGATGAATCTGTTTGAGTGGAACTTAGTTCTCACCAATGGAGTACAGAGGGAATATGGGTGGTTTACTACAATATGAGGAGCATGGTAGGTTCTAGCCATGAAGCTTAGAACTGGAAGAACCAAGGAATATAAGTTTGTCCAAGCACTTTCCATGGAAGTAACAGTGAGAGGCTTACCACATCCTGCCTGTAAGAGAGGTTCAAGACATTATATAAGAGATAAAGCTACAATGAGGATCTCAAGCCTTGAATGGCAATCTTCCTAGAGATGATGTCTCGATAAAGAACTGTCTACTTGGAATACTGTGAGTGTCTGAGAAAGAGCATTCAGCCTTGTCAAATCTTGCCTCACATCATTGATCAAAATCCCAGTCCAGCCTTAAAAAAAAAAAAAAAAAAAACAGACCCCCCCACTCACTCCCCCCACCACAAAAACGAAATGTGTTATGCCATATGCATTGATTCTTTTAAAAATATATTTACCATCTTTATATAATTTATTAATTTGATATCAAAACTAGATGTGCATTTCTTCCCTTAATGAAACTTTTGCTTGGAGGAATATTAATTACTGAAAACAACAGAATTCTTTACGTTTTGATCAGTCACTCATGATCTAAATATATTTTCTGATCAATTTCACATTTGTACATCATTCTGAAATGGCAGAGAAAATTCTGAGCATATTTTTTGTCTTAATTCTGGGAAATATTCACCAAGTGATTATTGCCAGAAATTAATCAGTTGGCATTTGGGATTGACGGAAAAAAAATCATCAAATTTCATTTTCAATAATAAATTCATTCTGAAATCAACAAGTTAGCAGGCATTTTTGGGGTTTTCTTTTGTTCACAAGTTTTTTGTACCAAATAAAAGTGCCATCTGGAATAGTAATGAATTCTTCAATTTATAAAAGAATAAGTCTCATATTGAAGAAGAGTGGGAACTGAAGAAAATAATTTAATCATGCCAGCACTTTTATTTTGTACACAAGTGAAAATATATTTGTAAAATTTTATAACTCTTCTCATTTTTCAATTAATTCAGATTTATTATCATTTTTTGTTCTTTTGGTTATTTTATTTTGTACTTTAATAGGTAAATGAATTTAAAGGACGAAAAGTTAAAGAATATGAAAATACAAATATTTACAAAGAATAAATAAAGAACAACTCTATAGTGTATAAGTGTAGGGATACAGAAGCTTCTTATCTCCCTTTGGTGGAGTTAAGTCAGTTGGGTCACATGACTGGCACTTAGCAACATCACTCCATACAGTGACAATAACGGCAGTCAAAATTCAGTTAGATTTACAGTAGCCATAGTGAAAGGTTGCTTCCTTTAACCTGGGCCATGGGGAAGCCTGGGCTGAAGCTAAATCTGCCTCCCCAAGCAGATTACAAGTCCATGATGCCATTTTACTTCAGGAATATATTTTTCCCAGATATAGAAAGGAACCCCAGCTCACAGTCCTCAATTTGGGAGAATCCAAGACTGCCTGTTTCCTGTTTGTGGAACATTTCCTTGCCTGAGACATAGATGAATCCAGCCTGGAGTCCTAAAAATGGCTTTTCCAGACACTGGAGTATCTCCATATTATATGCAAGACCCTTTTGTTTCTCCTTCCTTAGAATCTGCTTTGCTCTGTAGATGTATGTGATATTCTATTCTGTGTGGGATATGTGTATATATATGTATACATAGTTGTTATTTTTTTGTATGTCTTAATAATGAAAACAAAGCATGTTTGTCATTCTTTTTCTTTTCAGCCCTTCTATTCCATCCGTGAACTATGGTGTTTTGTCATGGATATAATAATGCCCATAATGAGGGAAAGACAAATGGGAGAATAAATCATTCTTCCAAGCTCTCCCATTATATAAGTATTAACTGTAATCTGATTAGGAAGATCATTGGGGGATAATGCACCACATCTAATCATGCAATGTACCAATTTTGGTGCCTACATCATGAGTTGCTAATCCTTGTAGTCTCAGATACTAGAGAATATCTGAGGCGAATAAAGAAAACAGCAACCAGCGAGTAAATTCAAGCTCTCCCAGCTGGTATTTCAACCTTGAGTCGTTCCTTCTTGAGTTCTGTCTCAAAATCACACTAACAGACTGTTCTTGCCGCCAACCGTGAACGTCACTCGAAGAACTGCCCCACTGGGAAAAGAGTAGTTGCTTTTATATTTGTCCATATACCCATAATCCCTTGCGTCTTCATGTGATCTCATAATTCATTGCGTCCATGTCCCATGATGCATTGAATCTTTATTGCATAAAAATGCAATTCAAGTACCCCCTCATTCTTTTACGTTATCTGGCCGAGGACGAATTACGGCAAAGCGGTAAGTGCTTTTTTATCCCTCATTTCAACTGCAGTAGCTTTACATGCTAAGTAAATATGGGCTCTTTTTTGGTGGGGACAAGGCAAGTCGCGACCAGTTGTGCTCGTCCCAGGTTCTGTCTCATGTCCGCCACACTATCATGGATAAGAAAAGGTTTTTTTAATAAATACAGTACTTGAAAGAACATGCTAAACTCTCAAGATAAATGCATTACAGAAACAGGTTATATATCAGGTATTATTTCAATTGCACATCATATTTATGTGCCAGCACATTCAGGACGTGAGCGATCAGGTTTCTCCAAAACTTGATAACTCTAAATAATGTTTGAACGTTTACTATCCTTCCCAGCTACTGTTCTGTTACCTATTTACACAAGCTTGTTAGGTAGTTTACTGAATGCTTCCCTCTGATCCTCTTACCAACAATGTCCCATGAGAGTTTAATTCTCCAAACCCACTTTCCTCATTATGTACCCCAGAAATTTCAACTCTTTCCAATCCTAAATACAAGTGTCCTTTTTCATTTTCACTGTCCTTAAAACTCTCACTGTTTAAATGTTTAGTCCATGATATTTTTAGCATCCTTTTTAGAACCACATCCCCTTTGCCTAAAGTCACTTCTTTAAATACGAGATTGTCCATCATTCACTGCCATATTGGAGGAATCAAGATTACACAACAGTTCAACACTCTTTGTTTCTAATAATACTCTTTTCTTTCTTAATATGTTGCAATTGCACAGAGATTAAATAATGCTGAGATAACAAAATACAAATCATGTTACTTTTGAACAATCAGAAAGTTCTAAGTCTTCCTGATTAATTTAAAATAAGTACGTCACAGAAGTAAACAGAATATCGCAACTAATTTCCAAGAAGAATTGATATTTACTCAGTAAGATCTAAAAAAAAAAGTCACAAGCATAAATAGATTACAGGTAAATAAATATTATCTATTCTATTGTCTCAACCCAACTCATGCTAAAATATGCTTTGCATTCAG